TGGGCAAAACCATCCTGTGTATTCTCACCAAGAGTTACTGGTCCCTGATGGCTCTGAGGCAAGCTGTCCCTCCCGCCCCCAGCACGTTCACCCAATTTTCCCAGAATGCCCTCCAGCAGAGCCACATTAGCTCCTGTGGCTGATGCAGAAGGTCACTGCTCAGATCTCCACTCCAGAAAGAGCCTGCTGCTTGGCTGTGAGGCGTGCAGTTCTCTGCGAGCTTCCAACTTTCACGCCTCCCGGGTCTGCCTCAGCTTGTGAACGAAGCCAAGCTCGTTCCGGGCAGTTGCAGCCAATGGCTGAGCACGGTGCACGGGGGGATTCCCAGGGTCAGCCGTTTTTCTCTGTGCTCCACACAAACCAGACTCCCTGCCAGCCAGTCAGTTCTTACTCACAGCGAGCCTACAGGACAGGGTAGAAATGCCCTTAGAGATTTCTGAAACTGTAACCGGGAGTAGGAAGCCTAAGGGGACGAGGTGGTTAGGGCAATGGGCTGCTAATCCATTGTGCTCTGCCTGCGTGAGTTCAAATCCCATCCTCATCAGGGTTAGCATCTCGGCAAGGGACGCTAACATCTTTACTCTCAGACAGAGATCGTTGCAAACTTGATTATACTGGATCGAACTTGAGACTTGGTCAATCGACCTCCCTCTTGACCCAACCTGAATTTGTTCTTGGCTCAAATATTTCTTGCTGTTCCATGACAAAACTTTCTCCCCCGGCTTTTAAAATATTAATAGTGGTCTTTTCTTTCTTACTCATTATTCGTATTTTTATCTCTATATTATCATTATTTTATCTTTACCTCTTAAAAAAATAAATTAGGGAGAAAAAATAAAAAGAGAGCAAGCCTCATTTTTCTCCCTTGCAGCAGCTGGTGGTATTGAACTGCTGACCTTGCAGTTAGCAGGTCAGTACAGCACCCACTGTGTCTTCTGCAATAGGGAATCTTTGTTCTGGCGCCCCCTGTTGTGTTGGCCTTAAGACTTTGTTGTCAGTCTCCTGGAGAGACCCTGCTTGCTCCCCTTCTTTTCTTTCACAGTCCCGCCTTCCTGTAGACTCTTTTCACACTTACAATAGAGTGTATTCCTTAAGGAGGAGACAGCAAGCAGTGAGGCAAGGAGGTGGCTAGGCTGGCTTACAGGGTGCAGCCTGTCACCTTCAGGCTGGCTTCCACCCTCCTGTCCCTTGTCACATTCCCCATCTGGCCATGGGGCTAACAGTCACCCTGCATACCATCATCCAGGTAGGAAACCCTTGTCTCTTGAGAGTCTAGGAAAAGGGCTGTTTTTCCCCTGCCTACTACCAGTTTGTTTTGGAATTCTACCTTGCCCACCCATCCCTGGTACGAAGGATGCCTTCTCCAGAGACAGCAAGCTTCTGCAAGGCCTTTACTGAAAGTCTCGTCCTCACACAGCCCAGCAAGCCCCTATTTGTTCATCCGAGAGACAAGCCGGTTCGTGATGGTGCAGGAGTTGATCTGCCCTTGGAAGGTGACCACTGCAATCTGTCTGTCTGAGGGCTGGTGATGAGGCAGCAACGGTCCTGGGAGCTGAAGGGAGGCTGGAGTCCAGGAGGGCTTGGAAGCAATTGAGGGGAGAACAGTATTAACTCGCAATCTTTTGGACTCGAGAGATGCCTGGGGGACAGTCAAGTGAGAACATCCCAGCAGCTGTCTGATTTAAAATTCCTTTCGATCTATTAACCAAATCACAGAGAACCAGGTCCTGTCAAAGCTGCTGTTTTCCCTCCAGCCCCCTGCTGGACTTCCTCCAGCAGCTCAGCTGGCCAGGCCTTCCAGGGCAGGCCCTTAACACAGCAGGGTCTGCCTGATGCTCAACAACGGACAATCCCAGGCCCAGCGCCTGCCAGCCTCTGTTCACAGAGACACAGCATCACAAACTCTCCAGACCAGAAGGGACGTCCGAGGTCGTCCATCCAGCCCAGACTAATCATTGAAGTGTTTCGCGTCTCCGTTTGGGGTGCTGAGCAGTGGCGCTGCTGGCTTCCCCTTGTGTGGTGTGAAGAACACGGCTCGTCTGTGGACCTCTTTGCCTCCAGAGAAGCATGCTGGTCTCCCTTTCTGTGACGCTAGCCAGTCCGGGGAAAAAGTGAGACCACATGAGTTTTTGTTTTGTCCTTTACACGACAGCTGCCAGAATGGACTCCATGGTGCGGGGGCTGTCTGTCTAGATGTCCGTTTTCTGTATTTCCCTCAATGTCTAAATTGTGAATAATCTGCTTAGGTAACCTGAGGGAACGTTTCTTCATGTATTTACCCCACTCACCCAAAAATGAAAGAAAGGAAGAAAGAAATGAGGAATTGACTTAAAAATTCCAAGTTCAACATTACTCGGGGAAAGAAACATTGCCTTCACTTTCTCCAAAGGCTTCGATTGGAGCTGCGGTGGGGAGGCGGCTAGCCTAGTTACGCTTTCTTTAATGTGTACTAGCTATTACTCTGAGAACCCATTTGTATCTTACCTAACCACATTGAAATGGCTGGGACATGGATTGCCCCCACCCTCACCCCCACGGGCTCCCTTTGAACATGAAAGTGCTCCCCCTACTCTTTGGGAGAGCAGAGATAAGAATGAATCGATCATGACATTGTTGGATAAAAATGAATATAAATTTTATTGAAAAGACACCAGCAACAGCGCAGGGGCCCACACAGCCCAGGGCACACAGCAGGAAAAAGGAAGCCCGTCTCCGGAGTTCCAGCTACTCACATTGCAAGCAGGAGCCATCCCGGACTCAGC